TTCATTGCAGAACTCATTCTTATATTCAACCAAACACGTATAAATATAGAGGAGCGAAAGCATTTAAATTTTCGTGTTTTTGACGATATGGATAACGTTAAAAATTTGAAAACTTTTCTGTATTAAATTACACATTAAAAAAAAAAAAAAAAACGGAAACCACGTACGGAAAAGGAGACAAACACATATAGACGCTTTGCAGCAGCTGTGCATGGACGCCGCCATAACTGACCTTCAGTTTTTGTTTCCTCTTATTTCGTTTATTTCACTTCATCATTACCATAGAAGGCCAGGTTATTGCCATATTACATTCAACTGTGTCCTTTTCTAAAGCATCGGCCTTTGCAGAGGATCGTCAACTACCGTTTCAGTCGCTCGGCATCTCGGTAAGACAAGAGAAGGTCAGCAATGGCGGCTGTAATTTGGCGCGTGTGCAAAGCGTCTATTGCGTCTCACACGCAGCTCATGAAACGCAAGTGGAGGTGCGTTTGAGACGTTTTGTGTTTTTCCCTTTCTTCGTCCGTCATTTTCTTTTGTTTCTTTTTACATTTTATTTTTTTCAAAAAATGTGTATCATAAACTAGCTCGCCCTGTCTACTCAGTCTATCTTCCTTTTCTGCGTTATATTATTGATTCATCAATGTTGTGTAGCGCGGTGTCAATATTAAAAAGACACTGACACCCCCGGATTTTCTTTAATTGTTTGCCAGGCGATTTATTATGATGTCAGAAGACTACCCATTTAATGTTTTGTTACGGCGACACGTACATTTTAATAAAGTAAGAAAAAAAAACTATTCGAAACCGAAACAGAAACTGAACTAGGGAGGAAGAAGAAATATAGAGGAGGAGAAAGTTACCGGAAATCACGTAAATGTGCATCTTCTCATCTTTTTTTTTTTTTAATCAACACATTTGCAACATTTTAGAATTAAGTTACAAAAAAACGTTGTTTTATTTTCAGTCTATTTTTAGTATTGAGTGTGTGCCTTCGATGACCCGCGACTTTGATTATCTTTTGTAGCCGTGTCTAAACCACAGAAAACGGCTCGTGACCACGTAAAAGAGAGTGAGCGCGACTCACAACGGCCAGTTTTCGATCGTCCGTTTTGGGCAGAACTGACAACGAACTTCGAGCTGCAAATTGTGTTCTGAGTGGTTGGGCTCTCATATGTCATGTACAAATAAAAACCTTGGCGAGCATAAATAACCTGTCAGTGCATGTCCCTTTTAATGGGATTGTCTGCACCGGATGAAATTTCACTTCTCTACAAATGTCTTTTACTACTCGTATAGTGCATGAATAGGACCAGAGGGATCCCCACGACCCCTCGTTATTGTCCTATAGTGCTATAATAGAAGTAGTAAACACTAGAATAACGAAAGTGACTTTTTTCAAGTAAAGACAGTCGGATTTGTTCATCCATTTCAACTATTTTTAATTGAAATCACAATACTTAAACTTCGTCGCTCACAAACATTCACTGGGCTATTAGTCTTGAGATATATGATCAGTATATATGCGCTAAACCCGAAGCCCAAAGCATACGCTAGAAAGCTTGTTGAAAGTAATTAGAACGACGAAAAACAGTTTCATTGAATGTTTCGTCTCCCATGCGAGAGGCACATTGTCAGTGAAGGGAGCAGTGGGGGGGGGGCAACGCGTTTAAACATTCGTTTTTCTTGTTTTGTGAAGCCGTTTTCCTTTTTACTTTTATGATATGCTCACCCGGCTTCTCTAGCATTTTTACAAGCAAACTTTATATTTAAATCACTCGTGTCGTTAATAACGGAATGTAGAGGACACGACAAAACGGGTTATTTTAGGATTGAAATGGAAATATCTGGCAAGCACGTTCGGGGACCTTAAAAGCTTCATAAGAATAGTAAAACGGTCTTCGCTAAACAATCTGAAACAAACAAACATTATGAAATGATCGAATATTTCTTCTGATGCCATTTAATTAGAATACAGCTTAAAACGGGCATTTGCGTCCGAAAAACTGAGCATTGAAATAATTCCTGTTCTTTTTTTTGCTGGATTATTGAGGTTGGGTACAGATAACGGTGTAGGGCCTGGCAAAACCTCCGTCTCCTAAAGCTCAGCAGTACAAGGTGATTACACAATTTTTACAAAAGCAATCCTGCAAGACAAACCTGAGAAAAAGGGACGGTAAACAGTTTGCTCAAATAAATCACAGGTATAAATGTCAGTAGGTATTAATAGATTTGTAAATATTCAACTGGAAATTAACAATAAAAGTCGCACACGTAATGACATGACAAAAACACTCAAATTGTAAAAATCCGTTGCACGAAAAACAAAATACTCCAACCGTCAGCTGCAACTACAAAACAATATCAGTAAAAAATAAATCAAATCTGTCATTTGATTAACATGAAATTCAGATGAAATTACAATGGAAACATACATATTTAAAACCTACGTGTAGTGACTATGTTTGTCAACAAAATAGACCGCCCACATAAAAAATGAAATCTCGCAGCCAAGATCTTTTTGCATTCAGGTTTAATGCTATTAAACGTTCTATGAAAGTCTAGGTCCATGTCGGTTCTATGTAAATTTGTTTTAGTACACCTGAAAAGAAGTTTATGTTTATGGGCCATAATTGGTTCTTAAGGCTGGCTTCCCTCGCTTCAGTTTTCGCGTGAAATATATCTTTTTGCCTTGTTTGGGCTGTAGCGCTCATGCCATGAAAAGCCAGAAATAAAGTGTCCCAGCATGAATCGACCATCTATAGAGCCATTCGGTGCAGATGTCAGATTGTTCAACAAACCAGAACACCGCTTCAAAAATCCCAACCTGACGTACTTTCGAGTTACTGGCCATTTCGCGCGGTATATACCTTAAAATCGAAATAAACAGTCTTTTACCAGAAGGGCCAAAACGTTACCGTTATCTGCAGCTTACTTCTGCATTTAGAATTCTGCCTTCCCAAGTAATGTATTGTTCGGGCTATATCATTCGCACTGAACAGATTTAGTCAGAAAAGCTATAGTCGGGTGAATAATTTCGGGTGAAGTTTTTTCGGGAGAATTTCGGGTGAGGTTTTTCTTCAGGGAGTCCGTACCCGGTGGATAGTCTCCACCTGGTCCTAGTTTACACTTATAACATTTACATGCGCAGCACATTCCAAAAAGAAAAAAAAAATGTCCGCTTTAATCATATAGCAAAAAACAAAAAAAAAAAAAAAAAAAAAAAACAAACGTATTCTGTTTTTCACAAAAATCCATCATATGTCGTCATCATGTATGATCTTGAAGAACCAACTCCTGTCTCATCTGTAGATCTTCGGCACCGCTTAAAACTAAAAGTTTTAAACATGTGTCTGCGGGATGGAGTCAAAAAACACGGTACACCGGTGTAGCATATTGAGACACATTATTGCACTCAAAAGAAAGGCTATTTGTTAAAACTTGTAAAAACACACTGAAAAAAAAAAAAAGTGCAATAGGGGATTGCTGACGAGTCGCAGTGGCCTGAACAACCTTTGCTCAGAAACATTTTCTTGGCAATGACGCTCTCGTTCGGTGCGACGAAAACATAGCAACCGCACGAACAAGCGGTTTGCAACATCAACGAGACCCCCGAGTTTTGCTCGATGGTGCACGACAGCGACGAAGCAACAAGCAAGAGAGAGGCGCTCTTTCTTTGAAGCAAGGAGGTATTTCAACGTCCTTGCTTCGAAGGGTCCGCGAGGGAGTGACTCTCAACCTTCGGTACGGACGCCAAGTTGGCGTTCGAGCTCCTTGACGCGTAATAAGTGCATTTGAGAAAGGCCCTGCTTGCGCCCGAACAGCGCTCCTCCAAGGGTCGCTGAATATTCCGAGACCGGAGAAGGGGGAGGGGGGGGGGGGGGGGGTTTGAACTTTGTTTACGTTTAAGCTGACAGTTGGGTGGGAACGACGCATTCGCCGGACCAATCAGCGGCCTCCCTTTCATCACGTGACCCCGTTCTCTCTGAATGAGTATGGGGCGGGAACGCGTTCATGTGGTGAAAGATAACCGCGTGACCGATCGTCGACAAACACGTAGCTTCCACTGCGCTGTCAGCTTAGGGGGGAAAGGAACGGAGGCTGGTGACGAGGGGTGCCACAAGAACCGTTCCGTCCCAACACGTCGGCTCGAAATAGCCCGCGCAAGCTTCTTTCTTTGCTGCAACTCGCTCCGCCGCGCCTCCAAAGCCAAACCCCGACTCCGAGATATTCTTTTTTTTTCTTTTTCCCGTTAATCTTTGCCAAGGTTGCTTGCGTCGCGCACCTTCTCGCGCGACATTTTTGTCCGACGCGTCAGCAGCGTTCGTCACCTCCGAAGTGAGCTCAGAGGAGGGGGCAACAAAGCCGGTCAAGGCCACACAAAGCCCAAGAAGGGGCCTTCTCTAAAGCCTAATCGCCCCCCGTCTACAAATCCTCCGTCCTTCGCGTCGCGCGCGTACACACGGCACCGGATTAACGCGGCTTACGAAACGAAAAAAAGAAAATGAATAAACGCCGAGGAGGACGGAGGAAGGAAACGAAATCGTTTAGTTTTCAATCCCCGAACACGCACGGGTTTCAGGGGAAGACTTCGCCAAGAGAACCGGCCAAAACACCGCGCGCGTCGCCGCGACGGAACAAACCGCAGCTGCTCTCGAAACCGGCGACGCACCCGGCGACGCTTTTTCGGTTTTCGGCGACGCGCGGCGGCGGTGCGGCGGCGCGGCCACGCCGACGGGGGCGACGCCAGCGCCGCCGCCGCCGCCGCACCAACGCCCCTCGGCCGAAAAGCGGCGGCGCGCGCCGCGAATTTCGCGCCCCCTTCACCCGTCAATCACGGGCGCGACCAATGGAGACACGCGGGGGAAACTCCTTCTTTCCCACCCGCTCTTCCAGCGGGCTCCGCCCCCTTTTTGGCGTTTCTCCGAGCGTTTCGGCGTTTCTTGCTTTATTTGTTAGCGCCCTCTCTCTCTTCACTTTCCTCCTCTCCCCGCCTCGAGCCCCCTAGCGGCGCGACCGCGCGACTCTCCGTCGAGCCGGCGGGCTGTGCTTGCTCGCTCGTGGAGAGCGCGGCCGAAGTCGGCGTATTCAGAAGCCGCCGGGGGCTGGCCAGGCCACGCGCGTTGTGTCACCCGACTGGACCACGCCGAGAGAAGCCAAGACTGCCCGCTTTACCACGCGGAGTCGCCGAGAGTTTTGTGCTACGCCGCCGCGAGTTTTTCGTGGTCCGGCGCCCCAGCTGACGACGAACGCGGCTCCCAAGGGCGTCCCGACCGGGCCCCCTCTTCTCCAACGTGTGCGTACCACCACCGAGCCGGGTCGCGGAAAGTATCTCCTTCACCGGACGAGTGCTGTGTTTATCTTTCATTTATGGGATAGTTTTTTTTTTTGGCCATTGTGATTGTCTTTCCATGATCGACTGATTCGGCGGCTGTGTTGTTGTTTTTGGTGTGTGTATTTTTTTTTTTCTCCGGTCTTCATTTGTGCGTGTGTGTGGGTGTGAAGTGCGCGAGAACCCGGCGTGGCTTGCGGAAAGGTGAAAGTGCCTGTGAACTGCTCGGTACGGACGAGCAAACGTGGTGTCGGTTAGCGGCTGCCTGCTTTCTGATTGGATCGCGAGATGTTGATTGTTTGAGATTGATTCTTTGGGCGAGAGTGTGTGAGAGGGACGACCGTTTTCTTTTGACGACGCGCGACGCGTGAAAGCGATACAAAGGTGAACCACGTGCTAGATGTAACTAGTTCCAAATTGGCACCTAGGATAGCCAAAAAGAAAAGGAAAAAAAAGTGCGGCGTGGGGACGAGATTCATTGGTTACGGGGGACGATGATCCGGCATCGCGATACCGACAGGTGACTTTCCTCCCGGCTTGAAACGTAGGTCCAGAGAGAACCAAAAACTAGGGTCGTAACCTCCCAACCAAAAACAACAACAAAAAAAGAGCAAAATTACTTCGTGAAAGCAGCGCACCGCCACCCTCACCACGTGATTCCGTCGCTCGTTTTTCTGGCCGTTACCGAGTGGCGACTTCACGGACGCTTTCACGACCGGCGTCACGACCCCGTCGTCCGTGTGTGCTCGAGCCCTGAGCGCGGAGATTTCGTCGCAAGGGAAGGAAGGAACCTAGGGGGAGTTTGGTGTCCACCGACCGAACCACGGGCTTCGCTGAGACGAGTCTTCGACATCTCGCTCCTCACCCCCCACTTCGAAAAGAGGCCAACGTCAACCCCTCCACCTCGATTTCCACCGCTGCTGGTTGTGAAGTGAACGCAAATCACCTCTTTTTTTTTCGTTTCGATCCGTAAATTCGCAAGCGGAAGATAAGTTTTGAACCGCGTCACCAAATTCGGGTCATCGACCAAAACAAAAAGAAGAGAAAAGTGTCCTCCCGGATTATCCATCCATCCAAGTCATCATCCCGGAGCGCGTTGAAAGTGTGTTGTGTTGTCGCTACTCAGGAAGTCTTCGCTCCGAAGCTCGCTGTCGCACCGTTTGACCTGCATCACATCGTGTTCTTCGACTCGTCGGTTCCGAGTTGGGTCTGTCCGACCGATTCTTTTTTTTTTTTTTAGATATTTGTTTTTCGCCCATTCGAGGGTTTCCGTGGCTGTGGTTTTTCTCCTTTCTTTGTGCCGCTGTGCTCGTCGCCGCGAAAACCGTGAAACGGAACACCACGGCTCACCAAGAAGACCAGTGACGTCATCTCTGACGTTTGGCTTCCACTGAGGATGGCGCAACGGGTGAGCAGTGACGCTTTCTTGCCAGTTCTTCTGGGCTCGTCATGTATACATACGGGGACTGAAGCAATGCAGTGCCTAATTTTGAGTCGACTTCAGTGTGAGCTACTCGCTGAGCATCACGTTAACAAAGTGCCAACCGTTTCTTTTTCTTTTTTTTAGGGGCTAAGTATATTTTTTATCTGGTAAGCGATTCGCCCCCCTTAAAGTTCTGTGCGGAAAAGTTGACTCATTGGATTCCCCAGTGTGTTGGGGTGTAAACAAACTCTCACATTTGACGGTGTAAATGTTTGTTTCACGTCATTGGTGTTACCATTACACCTCTTGCATGTGAAGTCATCGCGCGATGCCGGTTGTGAATGCCGGGTGCCATATTTTGGGGGGTAGTCTTTGATGAATAATCTTTGTCGCCGAAAATATATATATATATATATTTTTTTTTTTTTCGTGTAAGGAGATTTTAGAGGGTTTTCCTCGAAACCACATTTCTGTCGTTGTACAAGTGTTGGTCTCACCAAGTTATACTGAAATGTACCTTTCACCAGAACAATTTTTGAGCATCAGGGACCCACGAAAGCACACTACGATTCTAGGCAACCGCAGGTGTCTGCGATGCAAAGCGACATGCTTCATGAGAGCACTTGTCTGTGTCGTTAACTTCTAAGGAGCAAACGCCGGGTAACATGATTATAAACAAATACATCTTCACGTCGCGGTCGTAGCGGTGAAATGTATGGTTGGAGTGAAAAGTATAGTACAACAGGACGCGCGAAGTCCCAATAAAAGTTCAAAGAATATTCCAGATAAACCACTGATTGCGTACAAAAGACATGGCGTGTTTGTTTAATATAGATGTCTCCCAACTTTCTGGCTTTGGATTAGGTGTCGTATCTGTCGCAGTATCGAGGGCCGGAACAAAAATAGTAGTTAGAAACAAAAACAAAAAACGACTAAATAAATAAACCTAGATAAGCATTTAAACATAGATATGAATATTAGAGTAACTATTACTAAAAACCTACGGTGAATGAATATATATGTATACTTCAACTTGAAATTTAATATTTAGCTAATGATGACATTACACGACAGTTGTGGCCAAGAAAACTCGCCAGGCATGCAAATCAAAGCGCGTGGAAATTTAGCACATTCGCGTAGTGCAAAATACTAGAGAGAGTGATAAAACTATGCGGAGGGCAAGTTGTCTGCTTTTTTTTTTTTTTTTGCAGGAGTATCGGTGACGTCAGAAAAACGCAGAGCTCTGATTGGCTCCGATCGAAGGATAGTGAGTAGACCTCAAAGCAAGCTGCCTTCAGGTCTACCCACTATCTTTCATTCAAAACCAATCAACCAGTAAGGCTGACAATACGGAATAATTAAGGCAGAGGACATTAAGCACCCACGTGCACGGTGATGCAAAGACATTCTAACGTAGCTAAACAGACACGAAGTAGGGGGAGCGAGATTGTGCACGCAGGCGATGACAATGTTCAACGAATCAATATGGCGAGAGGGCCCGCGTTATGGGTGCAGTTATTCTATAGTTCCTTATTGTATATATCTTCGTTCGCATATTTGAGGCAGTGCCTGCAGAATGTCTATGGTATGAAGTAGTAGCAGTATGTACCGCAGCTTAACGTGTCATCCCCGAGGGTATATATATTAACACCTCGCGCAGTTTTGAGGATGAACACTATATGTGTGCGTACTCTTGACTCGTTTTCTTTTTTCTTTTTTTAGTTCTTATTTACGTGGGTTCCCTATCTGGTATGCGGGACGAAACAATAGCGAGGCGTTTCACCGTGGAATATGCGAGAAAATATAGGCGTGGCGGCGTGAGGCAAAACAATAATGTGTAACAATCACGCTTTCATTGTTTTTTTTTTTTTTTTTTCGTGAACATTTTTTAGCGGCGTGGAGAGATGAAAACGAAGTTTTAACGCATACCAATAGCGAGTGACGACATTCGAGAGTGACTGCGTCCTTGTGTGAAAAGGTGTATAATCTACAGTGCTGACAGGTGACTTAGAGTCGCGGGTTGTTTCGAGACCTTAGCGTCCTATTATTGCCCGGCAGCTGATGAGATTGCCGAGTTTTTGCCGATGAGGTCGCCGAAAAACCAATCGTGAATACGTCAAGGCCACGCTCGGCGTCCATTAACCTTTTGTCGACTAGAGTGGTCGAAGAGAAAAGTGGCACGAGTCCCAGAATTTTTTTTTTGTTACTATTTTTAGTCGTTAAGCGACCAGCCCCGTTAACACTGCTGATGCGGTTAGTAAGGGTCGCCCTTTTCGCTTTCCCTACGTTTTGTTTCTATCTTCCGTCTGTCAAACCATAAGATCATGCTATCAAGTATTTCTGAATAGCGAAGCAATCTCTATTTTACCTGTATATATCGCAGAATCAAAGCCACCGGTCGTGTGTGTGTGTGTGTTATGTTTTTAAAATTGTATTTGACGCTGTTTTGAAGATTATTTTTATATACTATAAACGACTGGTTTTATGTGTGCTCAATATTTCGTGACTTTTCGAACTGTCAGTTTGGGGAATATTTCGCAGGCGCGAAATGTTTGCGATACGCTGTTACAAGGTGGTCTATTCGCGTGATAGATTTTTCGCGATATTTACTGAATCCCGCAAAAATTCACACATCATCCAGACAAATTATATCGTTTAGAGTTTAGTAAAGGCAGGCGTCAGCTAAGAAGGCATTCTTCAATTAGGCCTTCTCTGGAGGCGGGCTTAGTGTCGTTATCACCGTCGATACCCAAGTGTATCCCCCTATCAAAAGTTTCGCAGACGAATTTAATTACCTTTCGTCAATGATAAGCATTTGACCAATCTTACCGATACAATTGTATGAAACAGGATCGCAAGGTGTATGAAAATCTGTATGAAAAGAAAGTAAACCGCCCGACTAAGGCTAAGTGAACGCCCCTTGCGAACATGAGTGAGTTTTAGTATCGTCAATACGGGAGAACGCAAGCACTGTGTGTTTGCGTTAGTGCTGCGTGCTCCACACTGCGCGTGCATGGAGCCCAAACTCAGTGGTGGAACGGCTGCGCCATTTGCGCCATTTTGCGCCAGACGCATTTGTCCGCGCCATCCTGCACCATTTCGCGGAAACTGCGCCACAGCCAATACTTTGCGCCATTATGCACCAAATCGCACAACGTGCGCCAAAAAAAAAAATTATTTTGTCTTCGATTTGGTTTCTATCGACTCGATTGGCAACAATGAGCGCGTTTAGCTTGGTCGGCCTTGCAATCCATTGCTCTGTTAATTCTTTCTGTGTATCCCGAGTTGGGAGCGCGCGAAAAACTCTGGGATCGGATTCGAAGCCCTACATCTGCAACATGATTGTTATTCTTCAACCATCAGCGGTTAAGCAAGTCGGCCGAAGTGAGGTCGAGTCGTTAAGCGTCCGATTGCCTGAGGCTCTGCGACCCGGGATCCGGACGTCGGCCAGTTGAAAACACATTAGCGAAAGATTCATTTTAGTACTTCATAGTTAGAAGTTGGAACCGCATTCCCGCAAGATAAATTGTGATTTGATAGAACTGAAACACGGTCCGATCCGAAACCTTGCCGGCCAGCAGCTCTCGCGCGAGTGGTAGATCTACTCGGCGTACATTAACCTTGCCCCTGCTTATCGCTTCAAATACGATAACTTCGTTAATCGTAGTCTGCTGCTTCGATATCGAGTTGCACAATAGGATAAACTCGAAATTTGTTGCCCTGTTCCTCCGTGCAACTGCACGTCCGTTTCTCACGCACGTCACGTGGTTCGCACATATAATTACTATGTCGAGCACGTGTGGGTTGTGCGATAAGCAATGCTGGTTTGCATTTTGAGCAGCTGAAAGCCCCTCAGAAAATATTAGGGACAGCATCTTCAAAAACATATGGTACTTGCTTTTTGGTTCTAATTAAGGCTCCCAAAGTTTCAAGTTCTCGCGTCTGTTACACTTTTAACTCATCTACCTAGGTTCCTAACCACTCATGTTCGTCTGTGCTGCTACGCACAACAGAAATTGCTCCCCTGCTCGTCTAAGACATAAGCTGAAGTGCCATGAAAACTGATCTGAGCTGCTCCTAGCCTGCTCCAGAACGTAGTTTTAGCTGCTCCCAACCTGCTCCAAAACAGCGGTTTCAGCTGCTCCCGTGGCTGATCCCAAATACATTTCATGAGTTCCACCCCTGAAACTGCGGTCTTAGATTGGCGCATGCCGACGACGCCTTTATGCAGCGTGGAGCACGCAATGGAAACGTACAACGCTTGCGTTTGCTCCTATGCGCAATACTAAAACTCTCTATTATTAAATCGTACACGAACTCTGAAATAAAGGAAACACGCCGAGTAGTAAATTTTGCCTATTGCGCATGGTCACTCTTGGACCGCGACAACCTTGTAAATTGCTTTTTTTTTTTTTTTTTTTTTTTTAGTTTGCACATTTTAGAACTTTTTCGTTCGATACTTCAAGGTTTAAGATATAAAAAAAAATCGCTTAAAAGAAAACATCTGCGTTCACAGTGGAAAAAAAAAGCTAGTGGTATTTACAAGGTAAAGGCTAGTAACCGTTTCTCATGTATGTTACTAGGTACTTAGTAACCGTAGGTAGTAACGGTCAAGCTAGTAATAGTTACAAGCCAATCTAGTATATTTTACTACTAGTAACTGGCACTAACTCTCACAAGACCAAGGTGGCGCTGGTCAAAGTAAAAAGTGGCAAAAAAGTATTGTCGCTGGGATAGATTTTTTCACGCTGCTTGCATTCACATTTGCACAGCATTTATTTCACACTAGCATACGTATCAAATTTGAACACAAGACCCACCACCTACAACATACCCGCGACGACACGCTAGCCCAATCACTTTCTCTACTGGCTACCCATGCGTCTTTTATACTGATAATTTGAAAGAAGTCAGTTGGTCAGTGACCACCTCGGCCGTAAACGATGTTAGAAATGTGGTGCTGCTTTCGGATCAGTATTCTTCTC